GCTGGATGCGAAGGGCATGGGGTCTCTGGAAGTCAACTTGAGAACGCAACAGATAGGCTGGGTGAAGCGATTTGTCGAATGTCAGGGTCAAGTGGCTCTGGTAACATTGCTGCTCAAGATCAACAGGAAAAATGCCAACGGAGGGCCAGTTCCTGGGGTGGTCTCTGCACAGACGGAGAAGAATCTGGATCGCGAATACGACATTGTCAAGTGTCTCAAGGCCTTGATGAACAACAAATTCGGTGCCGACGATGCCTTGATGCAATCAAAGGTCCTGCTGGCCTTGGCCACTTGCCTTATTTCATCTCGACTTACCACGCGCAAGCTCGTGAGCGAAATTCTGACCTTCCTCTGTACCTGGGGCCCTCACGGCGAAGGACACCTGAAGGTGATTCAGGCTCTAGACGAAGTCAAGACTCAAGTGGGTGAGAATGGGAGATTCGACGCCTGGATGCGGTTGGTGGAGGTCACCGTCGATGGGCGAGGAAAGATGGGCAGTCTTGTGGGTGCCAGCGATGAGCTTCGTACGGGAGGCATCGGAATGGAGAACCTACTGATGGAATACGCGGTTGCCACCCTGATTCTGGTCAACATGATCATTGACGCACCGGAAAAGGACCTCGAGATGAGGGTTCACATCAGAGCCCAGTTCCACGCCTGTGGCATCAAGAGGATCTTGACCAAGATGGAGGGGTTTCAGTACGAACTACTAGACAAGCAGATTGATCGGTTCCGCACCAACGAGGCCATTGATTATGAGGATATGCTCGAGCGTGAGAACAGCAGTGTGAAGGATAACATCGAGGGAGATGTCAAGGACTTGACCGACCCGATTCAAATCGCAGACACGATTCAACAGCAGCTGCATGGAACCAAGACACACGACTATTTCGTATCTGCGCTTCAGCACCTTATGCTCATCCGAGCCAACGATGGCGAAGAGCGGCTACGCATGTTCCAGCTCGTCGATTCGATGCTCAGCTATGTGGCCATGGACCGACGCCTCCCCAACATGGATCTCAAGCAGAGTCTCAATTTCACGGTTCAGAGTCTGCTGGACAAGCTGCATACCGATTCCGAAGCTCGGCAGGCACTCGATGAGGCGTTGGAATCCCGACAGATTGCCGAGGCCGCCATGGCGGAGCGAGATGAGATGAAGGCAAAGCTGGAGCTCGGAGCCGATGGCCTCGTGGCCAAATTGCAGAGGCAGCTAGACGAACAGTCTCGGTTCATCGAGGCTCAGAGGCGCCAGGCAGACGGCCTCAAAGGCGAGTTAAATAACATTCAAAGCGTCCGAGCCAAGGAAGCGCAGCGCTATGAGCTTGAGACAAGAGAGCTGTATCTGATGCTGCGGGATGCCCAGGACATCGCGGCATCTAACGCTGTTAAGGCCAGCAGTGGCAAGCCCGGCGGCAAGGAAAGCAACTCAGCACAGATGCAAGGCATTCTTGACCGCGAACGCCTCATGGAGCGTCTGCAGAAGCAGCTAGAGCGACAAAAGACCCAGTATAAGCTGGAGGGCAGGATTTGGGGAGACACAGATGGTCCCTCCGACCGCCTCCGTGCTCTCAGAGAAGCCATGGATGGCGACGGGGAACCAGGCACCCCCCCTGGTGGCGGCACACCACCTCGCGACTTTACTAACAGTGTTCTCGGAACCATCCACCGTGGGGGGAGAGCGTCCAGGCGAAGGTCCAGGCGACTGGCCAAGCTCAAGCAGCTTGCTATTGACGAAGACGATGTTGAGATGGATGAGGAGGGTGTTGTCATCGAGCGACCGAGAATCATCGAGATGAGAAGGCCAGTTGTCGACGCAAAGCAGCAGGCACAGCTTCTCGGCGAGATCGGTTCCAAGGTCAAGAAATACGAAGGCAGCGATTCCGAAGCCGACGAGGGCGCAACTACAGGCCCATCCCACCCGAGCATGGAGTCGTCCTCCCCCATTACTCCGGCAGAAGGCGAGGCCCCCAAGGTCGAGATCACCGCTGCCGGAGGACCGCCGCCGCCGCCTCCTCCACCTCCTCCTCCCCCGATGCCCGGTCATCTCCCCGGTGTTCCACCTCCCCCGCCGCCTCCTCCACCTCCACCGATGCCGGGCGCGTTCCCGGTTCCTCCACCTCCTCCACCTCCGCCCCCCATGCCCGGTGCCATGGGAATGCCACCACCTCCCCCTCCGCCGCCGCCCATGCCTGGTGTCGGGGGTATGGCGCCGCCTCCACCACCGCCTCCTGGCATGCCTGGCGCTATGCATGGTCACTACTTGCCTCAGACACCCGCCTTCGCCGCTTCGCCTTCTGTTGGCTTGCCAGTGATGCGGCCTAAGAAGAAACTCAAGGCTCTTCACTGGGAGAAAGTCGACACCCCAGAGACCAGTCACTGGGCAGCTCACGCCCCCTCTGCCGAGGAACGAGAACAGAAATACAACGAGCTTAGTCGCAGAGGAATCTTGGATGAAGTCGAGAAGCTTTTCGTGGCCAAAGAAATCAAGAAGATTGGTGGATCTGGCGGCAAGAAGGATGATAAGAAACAGCTTATATCGTCCGACCTTCGGAAAGCATTTGGTATGTTGATTGTTTGGAGATAGACACCCGTTACACCTTTGGTAATGTTGGGCTAACATGTGCATGTCTAGAAATCGCTTTTGCCAAATTCTCTCAGCACTCGGTTGAAAGGATTGTGCAGATGATTATCCATTGCGACGACATCATCATCACAAATCAGGGTGTCATGGACTTTTTGTCAAAGGACGACATGTGCAACATCAACGACAACGTTGCCAAGCAAATGGCCCCCTATAGCACTGACTTGACAGGGCCAGACGCCAAGAACCAAACGCGTGAACAGGATCCCGAAGAGCTCACGCGACAGGATCAGATGTATCTGTATACGGCATTTGAACTTCATCATTACTGGAAGAGCAGGATGAGGGCGCTTGCCCTGACGCAGAGCTTCGAATCGGATTACGACGAGATCAGTGCGAAGATGCAGGACGTTGTCGCTGTCTCTGAGTCATTGAGAGATTCGGTCGCACTTATGAATGTCCTTGGTCTCATCTTGGACATTGGAAACTACATGAACGACGCCAACAAGCAAGCGCGCGGTTTCAAGCTCAGCTCGCTCGCCAGACTGGGCATGGTCAAGGATGACAAGAACGAATCGACGCTTGCCGATCTGGTGGAGCGCATTGTCCGAAACCAGTATCCAGAGTGGGAGAGCTTCGCCGACGACATTACCGGTGTCATCACGGCGCAAAAGATCAACATTGAACAGCTTCAGGCCGATGCCAAGAACTACATTGCCAACGTAAAGAATGTGCAAATGTCCCTGGACAATGGTAACTTGAGCGACCCCAAGAAGTTCCACCCCCAGGATCGCGTCGGCCAAGTCGTTCAGAGAGTAATGAAGGAGGCCAGAAGGAAGGCAGAGCAGATGCAAGTCTACTTGGAGGAGATGATGAAGACTTACAAGGACATCATGCTGTTCTACGGAGAAGATCCCGCAGACGAGAATTCCCGAAGGGATTTCTTCACCAAGCTAGCCGGCTTTTTACAAGAGTGGAAGAAGTCGCGCGAGAAGAACGTTCTGGTGGAGGAGACGAGGAAGCGCAACGAAGCCTCGATGAAGCGCAAGCACGCGCAGACGAAAACGGCCACTCTCTTGGCAGACAGTGGACCCGCATCGCCATCAAGCACTGGCGCCATGGACTCACTGCTCGAGAGACTTCGAGCAGCCGCACCGCAGGCACGGGACCAGAGAGACCGTCGCCGTCGTGCCCGCTTGAAGGATCGCCACCAGGTCCGTGTGGCCTCTGGGCAGCAAATAAACGATCTCGACGAGATACCAGACATCGAGACCAACTTCTCCAAGTCTGAACCGACAATTGACGAAGACGGAGATTCGCAAACGCCCGTTTCACTGCCCCCTCCCTCACGAGATGGCAATAAAGAGGACGATCTGGCCGACCGGGCCGCGGCGCTGTTGCAGGATGTGCGCGGAGGCGATGGAAATGATGAGGCGGATGTAGAGAGGAGAGAGACAATGAGAAAGGCGAGGAGGCAGACGGCAGAGGAGGAACGGAGAGCAAGGAGAAGACGGAGAGAGAGGGCCTCCAGCACAGTAGACGGAGCGAGGGATGAGTCTTCTATTTTATCGGTATCGGAGGATATCCCGCCCACGCCAACACTTGACGTGCCTAAGCAAGAGGAGGAGGCTACAACGCCGACGACGACACCAGAAGTAAAGACGGATGCAAAGGAGGAAGAAAACGCTGGTCAAGACGGCAAGCCGGAGGAATCCGAGAAGATACAGGAGTAATTGTCACACAACATCATCACCATGTATTTTCTAGAGAACCAAGCAAGAAAAAAAAAACAATTCAACCATGAACAAGAACCATGGATCAGCATATATATATATACACATATATACCTGCCAGCAAGTACATACATACTTAATGTTTACAACTGCAACAGCCGCAAGAGGCGAGAAGAGAAGACGTCTCCTTTTTTGGTCCGCCTTTTTTGATTCATTCCTTTTTGAATTTGGAAGAGAGCTGGCGAATTTGGGTTGGTGGATATAGACGTTGCGGTACTGTTGTCTTTCTGCGTTTTGGCTGTCCGTTTGAGGGTATGGTTGTTGGTGTGGCCTGAATTCTTCTGTGTTATTATTCCCTTTTGCGGACGCGGATAAGTTCTAATTTCTTGAAATTAAGGAAATAATTGTATGCATTATGGTGCAGTATATTAGCGGTGGTCGCGTGTGAAGCGATATCACGTACATGGGGAGGCGTGCTCAAGTAATGTACTTCATATGATTTATTCTTTTTTTTTGGTACAACATTCTGTAGAATAAAAAGCCAGAAAGAAAAAAGACCTCAAGTGCTATGCCATCATGGATATCGTTACATAAGAAAAAAGGGTAAACAAAAAACAAAAAATTAGAAAGCTTTGATAGTCCGATACACTCCATCCTCCAAAAGCCGTGATATGAGAAGACGCCTCTTATCGCGACGGGCTCAGCGGTCTATTGAATCCTCCCTGTCGATTCATGTACTGCCGATACTCCGACTTCTTCTCCTTGCGCACGCCGCCGGCGTTGTTGCCCGCGACCTTCTTCCCCTTTGTGGTCCCGAAGCCACCGAAGCCCATCATGGCCTGCATGGCGGCCACGTCGTCGTCGTCCTGGCCCTCGACCTCGATGTCGTCGTCGTACTCGTCCTGCTCCATCCTGGCCGGCGAGGGAGATGCGTCTCGTCTGCTGCCGCGGTCTCGGCGAGCGGGCGAGGGGCTGCGCTTGTCTGCCTTGGCTTTGGCGTTGGGCTGGGATTTGCGGGAGCTGTTTTCTGGATGGGGGCGGGTGGGAAGGGCGGAGTGGGAAGGGGATGGTGAGCGGCGACGGTCGTCGCGATGTTTTGCTGCTTTTTTTGCCGATGTATGTTAGCGAGAGGATACTGGTAGCTTGAAGATGGTGTTCCTCGACCGTCTGCTTACATCGTTTGTCTTTCTCAAGGTCATCACGGTCATCCCAATCGTCCTGTCGACGAGGGCTGTCCCGCCTATCTCCATCTCGTCCTGGGCGACGATCTCGGCCGCCTCGATTTCTGTCCCCCCCACGGTTTTGTCGGTGCTTATCCGGTGACATTGAGCGATCTCTCTGGTTATCACGTCGTTCTCGTGACCGCGATCGGTACCCTCTGCGGTCTCGTCCTCGGTCTCGATCTCTCTCTCGATCTCGATTGTCCCAGCCGCGCTCGCGCTCGCGATCTCGGGCAGGGTTTCTGTCGCGACGGTCTGAATCATCCCACATTTGACGGCTGTCGGGCCGCCTGGAGCGGCGTGAATCATTCATTCTGAAAGAATATGCTTTGGAATTGCGGTAATTGACAAGTTGGGGGATTCACAGCAGCGAGGAGACTATGACGTTGAAGCTTGAAAGTTTCTAGAATCAACTGAGCTTGTGCTTCTGGGTCAAGGCTGAAGACAATGACAGGGGTAAAAAAGACTAGGAAGTGTGGCTTGTGTGGCTTGTGGCAGCTTGATTGGCCACTCGCGCCAAGTGGCTCCTCAGCCTTGCAGTGACCTCTAGCAGCACCACCGTGTTCATTGCAGCCCGGAAGCTGTTTCTGATCAACAGCCAATTATTCTGGGTTGGCATTTCTCTCTGCTTTGGATGAGGAGGGACTCTTGTTGATTATCTTTGCATAGAGCCGAGCTCTGTAGAGAAAAGACGAAGAAAAAGGGCGCAAATGGCCAGGTTTGCCCAACTGCTGGCCTCTGCGGCGGCGCTGGCGGTTGGTGCCTCAGCTACGGGCAGCGAAACCGTCCTGATTAACGAAATTGGCCGTCTGAACAACCAGAGCTTGCTATGGGGGCCTTACAAGCCAAATCTCTATTTCGGAGTGAGGCCGAGGCTGCCCCAGGGCCTGTGGACGGGCTTGATGTGGGGGAGAGTTGAGGGGTACATGGATATCCAGTCGTGTATGTGAGAGGATTGAGTGAGATGGCGATCGTTTTTCACGGATCTGATGCTAATCCAATGGCAGTGTTCCGCTACACCTGTGAGCAGGGCCAGGACATTCATGGATATGGTTGGGATGAGTACGATGCACGGACTGGTGGCGTTCAGACGATCCACGACGAAGGCAACGGCATTGATATCACCACTTCCTTCATCAAGGTTCCCGGAGGAAACCATGGCGGCAGCTGGGCTGCGAGAATCAAGGGAACTGTGCGTGATGACACACCCGACGACACCAAGTATCTGGTGCATTACTACATCGCCCAAGAAGGCCTGGGAGATCTCGAGGTCCAGGGTGAGGACGGCGATGGACTGGGATTCGAAGGCGACGTCACCTTGAAAGGAAGCTCCAGTGCCCTGGGCGATTACACCGTTGTGATTACTGAGGGATCCGGCAACCATCCAACCTCTGACCATGAAGTATCCGCTTCACGACGAGGAGATAGGACAGTGGTGCGTAGCCTCAGCCTCCCAGGCGAACATATCTGGCAGGCAAAGGCTGCAGTCTTCCGAGAGTTACAAGAACCCATACAGGAGATTCAACACCAATTCACTGACGAAACTCTGCCTCCCCCATGGCAAATCTACCGACTCAAGTCCCACCCCGGCGGCGGTAACGTCCACCTCGTTCAGAAAGTGTTTGAAGGATCATTCGAATTCGATGTCATCTTCTCATCAGCCTCAGCTGGTAAGGAATTGACAAGCCAAGACGTCACGCGAGAGATTAAAGAGACCTCGGAGGCTTTTGCACAGCGGTTCTCAAGTGTCTTTGATTTGAAGGCGCCTTACAACACCGACAAGTACCAAAAGTTTGGCAAGAGCATGTTTTCCAACCTGATTGGAGGCATTGGATATTTCCAGGGACATCAACTGATTGACCGGTCTTATGCCGATGAGTACGAGGAAGAGAACGAGGGCTTCTGGGACGATACGGCCGAGGCCCGAGCACGCAAGGCTCAGGAGCTAGAAGGCCCATACGAGCTATTTACGAGCGTTCCTTCGCGACCATTCTTCCCTCGCGGGTTCTTCTGGGACGAAGGGTTCCATCTCATACCAATTGCTGACTGGGATATCGACTTGACGCTCGAGGTTATCAAGAGCTGGTATAACACCATGGACAGCGATGGATGGATCCCCCGTGAGCAAATTCTTGGCCCAGAGGCCAGAAGCAAAGTACCAGTAGAGTTCCAGGTCCAATACCCCCACTACGCCAACCCGCCGACCCTATTTTTAATCATCGAGGACTTCATGGAGCGCCTTCGCGGTGCCAACGGTAGCGCGCCTGCCGAGAAGGAGACGCTATCTCAAGGAGAGACCTTGTATAACGCTCATCTGGATAACCTGGAGCTGGGTGGCGATTTTCTCCGCAAGATTTATCCACTTCTTCGACGGCAATACGATTGGTTCCGCAAGACGCAGAGGGGTAACATTAAGGCATATGACCGAGAGTCCTTCTCCTCCAAGGAGGCTTATAGGTGGAAGGGCCGGTCCGAGACACATTGTCTTACCAGTGGGCTGGATGATTATCCTCGACCGCAGCCGCCGCACCCGGGTGAGCTCCATGTGGATCTCATGTCGTGGGTGGGCTTCATGACCAAGTCGCTCATCAACATTGCGGATGCGTTGGGCATTGCGGACGAAATCGCCGAGCTCAAGAAGAATCTATTTGCCATTGAGCGTAACCTTGATGACCTCCACTGGTCGGAGAAGGATGGCTGCTACTGCGATGCCACTATTGACGAATATGAGGAGCATGCTCTCGTGTGCCACAAGGGATACATCTCGCTGTTCCCGTTCTTGGTCGGGTTGATGAAGCCTGACGATGCCAAGTTGGGCAAGATTCTTGATCTCGTGGGCGATGAGAGTCACCTGTTCAGTCCTCATGGCCTACGAAGTTTGAGCAAGCAAGATCCGCTGTACGGGACGGAAGAGAACTACTGGCGCAGCCCAGTATGGATGCCCATCAACTACATGGCATTAACACAACTCCACGTAAGTCTCACAGATTTGTTGTCACGACGGACAACTCGCACCAGCAGCCCAAGTGTTTGAAGCTAACTCGTTTGACAGAGAATCGCCACCCAGGAGGGCCCCTTCCAAGGCAAGGCTCGGGGCTTGTACAACAAGCTGCGCACGAATCTGGTCGACACCGTGTTCAAGAGCTGGGAGGAGACGGGCTTCGCTTGGGAGCAGTACAACCCCGAGACAGGTGCCGGCCAGCGCACGCAGCACTTCACTGGATGGACGAGCTTGGTGGTGAAGATTATGGCCATGGCGCCCCTGGACGATGCAGCGCCAATTAGGGATGAGCTGTGAAAGGGAGGATGAAATTTGATTCGAGTTTGACGCCTTGGACGATAGCCCAGCCTTTGCCAAGATAGAGTACTGCAGTAGAAGAGATTGATTCAGATGCATGGATGCAATGCAACCCTGGTTGGGCTGGTTGGGCCGAAACGACGAGGCTGATGCTTGCTTGGGCTACGTGGCACCTGTGACGCTCAGGCCGCAATTCAAAACCCCCGTAAAGCGCACGCATAATCGCCTGCAGCTCTACACGTATCCCATGACCCGTCAGAGAGAGATTGGCGAAACGTCGTGTGCCGAAGCTATCGGCGGGTTCGCATCCTCAGTGGTTCGTGGCTTTGTCTTCTGACAGCGGTTCGCATTACCGTTGAATCCTGCGTGCTGACTCAATTCAACGACGTGTCTTTGTTGTGTGTGGTGAAAGTGAGCGAGAAGGGGGAAATCTAATGAATGATCAACCACGAATAAAAATGAAAATGTTGGTGATGTTGTTGTTGATTGGGAGATGGAGTTGTAAAGGATGAGTCAGGCTTGGGCCGGTTTTAGGACGCGGATGAGTCGTACGGCGAATAATGTCGATCCAATGAATGAACTTCACCTGAGACATTGAATCACTTCCCACCAACTATACAACTTGTGTGTTTTAAACCCGACATTCTATCACCACCAATCAATGGCTGTGCTCCCTCAAAAAGCTCTACAGAATGGCCTCAGCATCAGAAGAGCCACGGCTGGAGATGTGCCCTTCATACAAGCCATAGTCAATGCCAGCTACTCCAAATATATCGAACGCATAGGAAAGCCCCCCGCCCCCATGGTGGCCGATTACAACGATTTGCTCAACTCACGCGATATTTACGTCCTAGAATCTACTTCTGATGACAAGCTCGTCACGATTGTCGGTTCTATTGCTCTAGGCATCGACGTTGAAGCAGACACAATCATGGTTAACAATTTGGTTGTTGAGCCTGCGGCCCAGGGACGAGGCTATGGTCGTGTTCTTATGGATTTTGCAGAACATGTTGCGAGAGAAAAAGGCATCGGATCGATGGCTTTGTTTACGAATATCAAGATGTATGAGAACATTGGGCTGTATGCTAAGCTTGGGTATGCGGAGACGGGGAGGAAGACTGAGGATGGTTATGAACGAGTGTATTTTCGCAAGGACTTGAAGTCAACGAACTAGACTAAATAGATGCTGTTTTCAAAAAGAAAGAATCCCATGTCTGCCATCGCTCGTATCAATCTGATGTGTATTCACGTTCCCCCCTGTCCACCTTGCTGTGAAGTCTTCAACAACGGCATTTCTTAACCCACTCATGGCTACGTGCAAAAGGCAGTCCTCTACCCATTTTCTTGTAGCGACGGTGGCATCGTTCACACCGCATCGAAGTAATGTAGTGGTAGGTGCGGAATTTGATGATGGGGTCAGGTCGAGAACGATGCCCACCTCGAAAGGGTGAACGATGATCGTCGAGCCCATGGCCATGGGTCAAATAGGGATGGTGAGGCTCATAGTCGAAACCACGATGTTGAGGGGGAGGCCGACGAGCACGGGAATGCTCTTCTTGATGAGCACGCCGAAAGCCTTCTTCTTGGCGAGCAAGCCGAAGTTCTTCTTGACGAGCACGCCGGAGTTCTTCTTCTTGACGGTCACGCTCAAGTAATTCCTGACGAGCAGCACGCCGAAGTTCATCTTGACGATCACGCTCAAGTGCTTCTCGGCGGTAACGCCGGAAATGCTGGAGGAATTCGTCTTCGTCTTCATCAAACGCGGAATCCGGGGAAGTTAGACGGCGAGCACCACTCTGCCGTAGTCCCACAGTCTCCTCAGGCCAAATGCCACGAGCATGCCGATCCTGCATCAGGGGACGGTGTCGCCGAAAGGCTTCCGGGTCATCTTCAGTCTTGATTGTGGGCGAAGGGGGAAGATGTTGTTGTGGCTGCTGCTGCTGCTGTTGTTGTTGTCGTCGTTGTTGAGTCTCTTCAGCATTGGGTACAGGAGCAGGTTGGCGTTGCGTTTGAGGCTGAGGCTGGGGCGGAGGCGGAGGCGGAGGTTGAGACTGGGGAGGAGAGTCATCATCGTCATCTTCTTCTTCTCCATCCTCAACCGTAGGTGCGCGATGAACCGGCTCCTGCCGACGTTGAATCTCCTGGACAGGAGGCTGCTGTTGGCGCTGAGTCTCCTGTAGAGGAGGCTGTTGTCGACGCTGAAGTTCCTGTAGAGGAGGTTGTTGTTGCTGTTGTTGTCGCGAGGACTCTTGAAGAGGACCCTGTTGTTGACGTTGAAGCTCTTGTGGCAGATTCTGTTGCCGGGAGAAGTCCTGAGGAGGAGGCTGGTTAGGGTCCCGCTGGTAAGGGTCCCGTTGATAATAGTCCTGCGGGTAACGATCCTGATAATAAGGATCTCGCTGGTAAGGATCCTGCTGATACATATCACGAGCCCGATAAGGGTGCTGGTAAGACCCCTGCCAGGAAGGATCATAATGGGGCTGCGGACCAGATCTCGCATCAGGCCGCTGAGTAGATTGCCTAAGCATAGGCTCGTCTTGGGACTCATAGTAACGGTCATTGAAACGACCATAAGCATATTCATAAGGAGGAGGGGGCTGGGGGCGATAAAGAGGCTGTTGATACTGAGCATCATCCCTCAAGCTCAATTGGCCGAAATCTTCGTAACAAGCAAAAGGGGAAGCAACAGGGAAAAACGCGGGGACAACAGGAGGAGGTGGAGGAGGCGGAGGGCCAGACGAGTAGATGAAGAGAGACCCGGGGTGGAAGGGAATCGGAATGCTTCCCTGTGGCGACCCGTTATTCTCCTGATCAGACGTCGGCTTATACACTCCGTCTTCCACTGTGCCCCAGGTTTCTGCTTCGGTGCTTCCCGGCTTGATTGTGGACAGCTTATTGTCAGCGAGACAAAAGATCAAGAGTTTCGGGTCAGTCTCTGCTTTCTCGTCTTCGGCAAGAGATATTTTGGCAGTGGCTCCCTCTATCTTGGCACTCGAAAAGGGTGCGTCTAATACCAGAGTTAGAGACGTAGAGCCATGAGATTGCAGATGCAGGACTGCATACCTTTCCACTCATCGTTGCTATGCTCCAAATAACGAAAAGTTTGGTCCGCCGCAACATAGACAAAGTATACGGCGTCTTTGGCTTGGAAGCTGGCCATGGGGGTTCCGGGAAGAGCCTCGGAGTGTGGGAGTTGAGCAATCTTCCATCCATGGTGGCCGTCATCTTCAATGGCGCCGATCGTACCATCGGCGTTCTGATAGAATACTACGATTGTAATTTTACCGCAGGCGACGGCAAGCTGGCTTTTGTCGTGGACTTTAATGTCCAAGCCGTCCAACTCCTCGTCCTCCCAGACGGTGTCTTCTTCTTCTTCTTCGTCATCACTATCGTGTTCATTCTCGGCTTTCTCAGTCTCTGTGAAGCATCTGAGGGCGTGTGTCTGGTCTACAACAAAGACTCTCTGTAAGTTTTGTCGTATACTTGGTAAGTCTCTGGTGTAACAGTGTCAAGGGTTGGAGTCCTTGGGTACATGTAGCTTACATTGTAGTGCAAGGACACAAGAGGTGCTGCTGTGTCAGTCCTGACTCCAGTCACCACTTGTTGCCTGTTGGTAAGCTCGGATCCGGTCCAAGTCTCCATAAACAAGGCATTCTTCTCCTCGTGGAAGAGATGAGTTGATTTGCCGTCGGCAGAGGCAGAGCCTCCGGCCGCCAAGAGGAAGCGGGTCACGTCCTGAAGCCGGCCCATTGCTTGAAGCTCCGGTGAGATGGTCGCTCAATGCTCGTCTTCGGAACCTTGATATTGAGCAGAGTTACAGTCAACTCATCTCTAACAAGATCCCCTGTACAACAGGCTAGCTGCTTTTATAAGGAGTGCAACCAACATCATTATTAGCCGCTGCACGCAAAGCAGTCTCTTCCACATTGGGCCACACTAGCTGCCACCTTTGGGCTGAAATCCCGTTGAGCCTCATCATCCACGGATCCATTTTGAAATGACGTCTCGTATACATGTCCCGAGCTGTTCCTGAAGCCTGGGCGAGGGAGAGCAAAAAAAAACTGATCATATGACCCATTTGCTGGCAGGCATTACCTGGCAAATCAACTCCCGATGCAGTGGTTCTGGGAAGCCCGATCACCACCCATGCATTCTATTTGTTGTTCTCTACCCGAAGGCGTCGACGAGGCTTCCAATGAAAGCTGCGAAGGTCTTGGTGACGCGAGAAATGCCATCTTAATAGGTGGCTTCAATAAAACGGCCGGGTGGGGGCCGTCTACGTGTCACGACATTGCATTTGGAATACATGATGCGGGTTATCATGTTTCTTGACTTATAGGTTGCATTGCATGGACGGATGTTGGTTTGTAAACGCATTACATGGACTTATCAGTGCGGCTGAACTTGCAAACTGCAAAACACTCTCACCGAGTGGGTTCTGTTCCGCGAATGACTCGATGTCCGTTCTCGTCGTCTGCATTGCATGATGCAAGGCAACTCGACACGTCGATAATGACATCTCCCGCCAGACGGCCGGTGTGTAGCTCCTCGAGCAAACGAGGCTGTGCGCACGTCACTCCCGTATATCTACTCGGTGAGTTAATTGAGGCTCTTTGGAGTCCCCTGTGCCTGACGTCTTCCATCAAAATTCTCTCTCGCCGCGTGCTAGCTGGGTATATAAGTGGCATATGATCAGTCACAAACACGTTCAGGACCCAACACACTTGTAGCATTCTCCCCCTGCGCTTTATATCAGTCGTTCCCCCGGGAATCCAATCAAAATCCCACTCAGAATTTCAATCTTACCCTCAATCTCAATCTCAATCTCAATCTCAAATCAAAAAAAGGGCCAAGCAGAGCAATGATCACTCTCCACGATGCCGCCGCGCAGGGTAGTCTTACGGCAGACAACCTTGATCATTACAAATCGGCCTCTCTCCACTTTAACGTGGACGAAATCGATCGCAAGGGTCGCACGGCACTCGCTTATGCTGCTCTGAAGGGCCATATCGACGTCGTCAAGCTCCTGCTGGGCGAAAGTGCGAACGTTAATCATATCAACGACAAGAACCGAACTGCGCTATGGTATGCCTCATTCAGTCACTCTTCCGTCACCCAGCAGCGACGCCGTGAAATCATCGAGTATCTTCTGCATCAAGGTGCAGATCCCGATGTTCAAGCAAAAGATGGCACGACTGCCCTCATGAAGCTCATTGAGCATCGAGATCCCGGTGCCATCAGGCTTCTGACACAAAAAGGCGCGTCTACTACCATTGAGGTCAAGAAAGGCGCAACCTCTGTGACCATTGAAAAGCTTGCAGAGGCCACCAACGACCAGGCGGTGATCCAGGCCATCAAACAAGATCCGGCCCCTGCCTCGAACAGGGACGAGATCGTCACTGAGATTATAAACTACTTCTTCAAGTCCATTGGTTTCATGAACCATACCCTCAAAGGTGCGGTCAAGACCATCTTTGGCATCCAGGGTAACATGAGCCAACCCTTTGGTGTAAGTGAGATGAATCCTCAGTTTACATTATGTGAAAATTAACTAAAGGCGTCTCATAGTGCGTACCTGATAACATGAAATCGAACGTCTCCAACGCCGCAGGTGTCATACCCGAAAAGACTGAGGCTATAAAAAACAGGATCTACACCGACTCAAGCATGACTAATTCTCTAGGCTTCGGAGATCCCCAGCCCCAGGATGCCATGACAGTTGCTCTCTCTCCAGTTGCAGATGATGTTACAGATGATAAGCCTTCAGTCCCGCTTGTGTCGGAGATTTCGGAAAACACCACGGCAGAAGAATTCCAGGCCAGCATGATGCAATTTATTAGTGACACCGGACTCGACTACTTCTTTGAAGAGGATGATCTTTTGCTGAAAACCATCGCGAGCAAAGCAGTGGAGCTTCAAGGCAAGGAAGACAACCTGCTCAAAAAAGACAAGGATATCCAGGACATCACGAAGCTTGCTCTTTATCAACCGGTCTTTTACTGCGGTGAGTTTAAACAATGCAACGACACCAGTCAGATGCGCAGCTACTAATGAATTATCACATTATTCCACACAGACGATAGCGGTTCCATGAAACAAGGCACACGCCAGTCCGACCAGGTTGATCTTGTTCGACGGGTCGCCCGAATCTCTACATTGTTGGTCCCCGACGGCTTCGGAGCGGGCTTGCTCTTCATCAACGACAAACGCGACATGGACCCAAAGCTAAAGGCCGAGCAAGTCGAAGAGATTATGAAGGCAACCAAGCTCGGTGGCAAGACCAGGATTGGCACTCAACTCGAACAAAAGATTCTCAAGCCCTTGATTTACGATGTCATCGAAGCGGATCAAAAGATTGAAAGACCTATTCTCGTTTCTTGCATCACGGATGGCTGTGCAAGTGGTGAAGCCAGAAACAAGTTTAAGGAAGTCATCGTCAAATGCATTGAGTTCCTTCTCGAACACGGTTACCCTCCTCAAAGTATGCCATTCTCTTTAAGCACGCTCGTTGTTATGGAGATAGCCCATCGAATGCTAACCGTCTTGATAGCTGTTCGATTCCAAATCAGTCAGATTGGCAATGATTCCTCTGCCGCGGATTTTCTTCAACAGCTAAAAGATGATGACGAACTGACTGAGTGGCTCTACTGCACCACACGTAAGTACCGAGTGTTCCACAACATAGCTGACCAATAACGAGGACACGAAAGCTAATACAAGTTGAAACCTAAAGAGCGCCTTGATGAGGGATGCAGAGAGTTCAACGAGAATGAAGAGGATCTCGAGCGATGGGTAAGTTGCAACAGATACTTAAATGTGCCACTCTTAGGCTAACGAACCACACAGCTTCTGCAAACGCTCATGGGACCGATTGCCGAGTTGGGGAGGTGCAGTGACTAAATGTATAGGTATATTCATGTGTTTGATAGGTGCTGCGGAGTTATGGGAATGTACGGAATCAACAGAGTTGGGACTCGTTGGCAAAAATTCAGGCGCTATGGGGGGAGTTGGGGGATTCTTTCTTTGAGACATTCTTTGGTCATACTTTCTTTTGTTGAAAAGCTTTCTTTCTGTTCTTTCTTCTTCTTGTATTAGTCTTTTTTTCCCTGTTGCTGGACTGCCTACGCTGATATTTCCTTCAAAAGCTGTCTCTTGGCTGAATAGCTCAGTTTTGTTTAGTTTAATGATAATGCGTTAGTCATATTGACACACAGACTTTGATCAAGAGCTTATACCATACTGAGTGCAGCCCAATAGACATCATGGTATGGTTTCGGAAGCTTATTAACCGCCCTTTTCAAAGTTGTGACTTTTTTCATTGAGAATCATTTGCCATTGGAAAGTGTCCTTGGGGTAGCCGTATTCAAAGATTCAAACAGGACTGAAGACTAATTCATTCACACAATGTATGAAACTTTATACAGCAACACAGACTGCAGTCACAAGGTACTATGTAACTTGTCATGGTGAAGACATTCGCATTTTCACACAGATACTATAGTGGAGTACCTAGGTAGATTTATATACTACTAGTGGATAGGTGTACCTGTGGTAGATGGAAGTAGATCTAGTAGATAAACTCAGCAAGGGTTGAAACATTCTATATAAAAAGAAATCATGAGTCAGTTTGCTCATATAACTCCAAAGTCTACTCAATCACAAACATTCGACTCTGTAAACAGTGTTAGCTTCATCTCTATCCGTTCGAAATCGATGACTTACCCCCACCATGTCCGCCTTATCCCCCCATCGCCCAAACGATACACCCGCAAATTCAGTCATCCCATCCTCAATGTCATCCTCATCCCGATCATCGTCATACATTCTCAGCTCCTGGATTTTGCTTGGATCTCCCGGCGCAGGTATAAGCACGAGAAGTCGTTTGTTACCACTTTTGAGCAGCTTTTCGTCTAGTCTGACAAGGTTAACGTCCTTCAATGTGTCCACCAGTATAGCTCGCTGCTGTTTTGGCTGCCACTCAACCCAGCACTTTTTGTCATCTTTCCAAGTGGGTGGCCTATGAAACTTAAACGCATAGAGCACATGCCTCCCAGCCCATCTTGGGAAGATGGTCGTCGGCATAATGTCAAACGTCACGTTGTCCTGATTTCTAGCCTCCTCCGACGATCCCAGAAACACCTTGGCAAAATCGCTGTGCTGGAAAAAAGAAAGATATGTGTTGTGTGGCTTGTTCTTCTTTCCAAGGGCGCAAAGACGCTTGCCAAAGAAGCCTATGCCTAGCCATGCGCATATGGTACGAAAGACTTCTTCGGTCATCTTTGTGCCTCTGCTTCCGCCAACTTTTGTTTTCGGCCTCATATTGCTGGAGAGTGAAGATGGGTCAGCTCATTCGAAATATAGGTAGCTATAGGATTCATTCGGAAGCTTTATCACAACTTACTGTATACCCACTACCATTGGGTGTCCACCGTAGGGAATCCAAACCGGTGATCCGCTCATTCCTTGCTCTGTCGGTGCTTTGTATTCGACGCATTGTTTCACACCTGTCTTTATAACTTGACCGGAGCTGTGTTGCAGGGGGGAAGTTGGATCATTTCCTCCGTAGCCACTTACGTTGGCCATTTTTGAACCTTGCAATGTGATGTGGGAGCTTAGCCCAAGATTCAGCCCCAGACCCTGTCTGTTGCTTTCTTTGGTCTTGTCCTTCACCAGCAAGATGATGCCATAGTCATAAGAGCCCTTGTCCGGGGCTTTGGGCCCTTTAGCTGACGCTTTGGGCCCTTTATCCGAGTCTTTGGACATTGTCTCAAGAATTTCGATATACTGGGGACAGATTTTGAACCCGGCAACTGGCTCCGACTCTATTTTTTCTTTTTCAGTCCCTTGTCCAGTATTCTTCGCGTTCTTCTCGGTCTTTGCACAGAAGACCTTCAAGGTCTGAACCGTAACTTTCTCGTTATTGATGAGGTTGTGGGCGGCAGTCAAGATGACATCGTACATGCTGCAAGGAAAGTTGACAAAGAATCCCGTCCCATACGTTGGTCCATCTGCATTATCAAAAAAAAAAAAAAAAAAGTCAGCCATATGATCGAGCAGTCATAGAAAGATAGACGCCAACAACGCACCGCCAAAATCACATTGTAGCCTAACGATGCTGTTTTTCAGATCGAAACTGGCCTTGTCAAGACCTTTGTTCACATCGGGCTGCTGATTCTCGATGCGGGTTCGATGGACGTCGCCAGGGGCTATGATGCGCGGATACTCCATCTTGGTGTCCGAGGAGAATTCAATACCAAGTCGATAGAGCATTTTTTTTTTTCACGGGGGACAAGAAAGAGAAAGTATGAAAAGGAGTAATATTGAGCTCGTCGTACAGACGTCTAACCACCGGACTGCATTGGATACCTTTGGAGACTGCTGCCTTGGAGCAGCCCCATGTATTGCTGCCCAACTCTTACAGCATGAAAACTGCAATGCCACGAGGTGTTGGTTGATTCGCAATTGCTAGAGGAGGCTGGGTTCCCAGGACAAAAACCCCACGAAACTCTGTGCTCGCTGCTCCGTTGCCTGATGTCTCGCCGGAGTTGGTCGAGTATCACCCTTACTCGCAAGCAAAATGAGCCTCTAGAGTCTAGGCGAATACTGGCAATTGGTGTCTCTGTGCTGCTAGTTACACTTTGTTGATTCCTATCCATCGGCAAGAGAACTGACCGGCGAATTAGCTTAGCCTGCATTGTAATCAAACTCCTTTCATCTCTATCCGACGGCCGCTTAGGATGATCGATTCTCCTAACCCAATTGCCGTAGCCTTACAGCCCGCTCCGGAGAGTTTGGCCCACTCTCGAAGCCCATCTTCGCCTCCTCCGCCAAAACAACAAAAAACCTGAGAAACAACGGCGGCGGGGGGGGGGGGGGGGGGGGGGGGGGGGGGGGGGGGGGGGGGGGGGGGGGGGGGT